GTATTTAGTTTATGTTGAGTATTTAATACACTTCAGGTATAAGGACAATAATAATCAAACAAAGTGGCTCAAAAGAAGACAAAGGTTTTCTTTAGCAATTGAGTTTTTATAGTTCTATAAAAGACAATCATGTCTTCTGCTTTCTAAATCTTTTTTTGTTTGGGATTTGACACTTTTATTTTAGGGCAATACTCTGTCCTTCAGTTTTCCTAAAAGACATGACCTTTTTATTCAGGGCTCTATTTCCTTGACAATCAGTGCCTTAGTATATGCCTTTGTGAAAAAACAACAACAACAAAACAACAAAAAACAAAACAAAACAAACAAACAAAAAACATTCTGACAACTTCAGTACTGTGTTGCTAATGGAAATTGCTGTCTGGTTCATGAGAATCTGGCTTTTGTTGAACTTTTTGTTTTCTTGTCACTCATGGGAATATATAAAAAATGAAAGATGATCTCTTACCACAGAGTTAACTTTAAAAAAATGTTATTAGCAATGTTTTTTTAAATCCACTGAACTAATATTTTCATACAGAAACTAGTATTCTTCCAGCTTACAAAATGAACTTGTAGGTATATACCTCACTTACGTGGCAGAAGTAAGGCCATCTTGTCTGACTCAGAGACCAAGTTACAAGCCATTTCCTTATTTCCACAGGCAACTTTCACTATAATGCAGTTGTTACAAGTCCTTAGCAAAGCCTAAGAGTTTGAGTAGACTTTGGAGTTAGATGTAAGTGGATTTAAATGCTGCCTCCGTCACTTAGCTGCGTGATCCTAGTATAGTCAACCCTCATAAATCTCAGTTCTCAGTTCCCTTATCTTTACACTGGGAACTAAATGAGGTAATCCATGTAATGTACTTAACAGAAGATCTGCTACATAGTAAGTATTCAGTAAATAATTGATATTGGTTTTATTATAATCTTCATATGCCTGGCTTCCTGAAATGTTTCTCTATTTCACAAACTCTTTAACAGAGAAAACATAGAGAAAAATGCAGTTTTTAAATTAATGTCATTTACTTATTTTTCTATCTCTTCTTCCTCTGAGATGGCCAATGAGTTATCCTTACTCCCATTCTGTGGTGTTTTCTCATTTTGCAGTTTTTTTACAAATGATGGGGGAGCGGAATTGGCACAGTGCCTGGCATGTACATGTATCAGTGTTGCAAAATAAAATAGTTTTTATTGTTATGACTATTATTATTAGTTTTATTATTTGATAAGAATTAATTTTATTTCCAAGAAAAATCTAAGAACATCTAACATTATCCTCTAGAGAGATTCTTGCTTTTGTATCAAACACAGCTGTATGTGTAATATAGACTAAAGATTGGATTCAGACTATACTGAAGCTTCACCTCATTTTAAACTTTAAACCTGAAGAAATGAATGATTATGTCATTTTGTAGAAGGCCATATTAGTTACTTTTATGGCAATAGGTCATCTACTTTTTCCCTTACCTACTCTTCAGCAAAGACCACATCTACTGATCAGCGTGCGGGGCCCAAACCCTGCTGTGATTCTGTGAGGTCAGAGAAAAGTATATTCTGTAATGCTGGTTCAGGAACACTCAAAACAGATATTTTTATACTTTTAGCTTATTCATTTTCATGGTGAAAATGTAGACAGCTAAACACCAGCTGAATTAAATTGAACAGAACCCAATATTAGTCTCTCAGTGGTTTAAAGAGAACAGGCTCCTTACCACTTGAATATCTTTCCAATCTATATGAAAAGGACATACTAATCATGAATAATTGATGTACATACTTATCAGCAAGATCATTAATATGATATTACAAATACAGTCATGTTTCTTGCATTGATTTCATTTTGCTTTGGGTTTATTCAATGAATAAAGTAGGGATAGACTGACAGATCTCATAGAGAACAGGGGAGGAGGGATGTGAAGAGGTTAACCAAATAACTTACATGCATATACCCATTACCCATGGACAGAGACAATAGTGCAGTGAAGGCCTGGAGGTGTGGCTGAACCTGGGTGGAGGGGAGGAAATGGGGGGAAATTTTGGGATGTCTGTAATAGTCTCAAAAATAAAAATAAATGAAAAGAAGGTATGGCAGTGAATTGAATTACTTGTCTGTATGGCTCACATGTCCCCAAGTTTAGGTCCTTCCACCAGGTGTCATATTGCCTGTAGCATCTCTACTGCCTTCAAAGGAACCACCAGAGCAGCAAATATCTTTTAAAGCAGTGGTTCTCAACCTTGGCTGCACATTAGAATCACCTGGGAATCTTTTTAAAATCCTGATTTCTGGGCCTCATCCTCCAGAAATTCTGTTTTTCTGGGCCTCATCCTCCGGAAATTCTGTTTCTTTGTTATGGGGTGGGGCCACAACATTAGTAACAAACAAACAGAATTTCCGGAGGATGAGGCCCAGAAATCAGGATTTTAAAAAGATTCCCAGGTGATTCTAATGTGCAGCCAAGGTTGAGAACCACTGTTTTAAAGACTGATGCAAGTACCTCCTCAAAGGCCTAGTAAGTTCTTCTACCTTGAGCTTAAAGAGTAGCTAGCTGCACCTGCGGGGTCCCGCTTTTCCTGCTGGCTAAAAACACTCACCTGAAAAGCCCTGCCTAACTCCACACAGCAGGAAGTATAAAATAGGACAGAAGGCAAATAACCCCAGTTCTAATTTCAGAGGTTATCTAGGTCTCCTGCTCTTGCCAGTTCTCTGGAATGTGGTTCTTTTTAAAAAATGTATGTATTTATTTATTGTTGACAGAAAATACACATTCAATCAAGGACATTTTACTTCTTCCAACTGGAAATTCACTATTAAAACAACTTCTTAAAGTGGTTCTTAGTTTATCATACTGTAATTGACTTTCTGCTTTCAATATCTTTTTTGTGGCCTTCTAGTACCATTCACATGGCAGAGGCGGCTCTGCACCAAAGAAAGTGGTTCATTCCTTCAAACAGCATAGACAGTGATTTTCACCTTTTCATCTCATGGCACACATAAACTAATTACTAAAATTCTGTCGCACACCAAAGATATATTATTTTTTTATGATCTGACAAAAATAGGTGTAATTTTGATTCATTCACACCAGATAGCTATTGTTGTGTTGGCTATTATTATTTTTTTATTTGACAATCTAAAGGAAAAGAGGTCAGTGCCCCTGGCTTAATAGTCAGGTTTTGCATGTTTTAAAATTTCTTATGGCACACCAGTGTAGTGCTAATGCACACCAGTTGAAAATCGCTGTCATAGAGTTTCATTGTGTGGTTTACAACACCAAAGAAATTAGCCATACAGTAGGTTTTCACTTCAAGCAGAGGCAAAGGCGTAGCCCTTCCTGGAAATTAACATAGGACTCTCTTCTTACTCTTAGAAGTTCATAAATGGATGGCTCTCTCTCTCCCTTAGCCAGTAATTATTCAAAGGCATAATGAATTCATATTGTGTCTAAAATCTTTATACAGGAATACCTCATTTTAATGCACTTCATTTTATTGTGTTTTGCAGAGATGGCTTTTAAAAAAATAAAGGTAAAGAAGGAATTCTTACCATTTGCAACAGCATGGATGGAACTGGAGAGCATTATGCTAAGTGAAATAAGCCAGTCAATGAAAGAAAAATACCACATGACCTCACTCATTTATGGATAATAAAGACCATTATAAACTGATGAACAAAAATAGATACAGAGGCAGAGCAGCATCGAACAGACTGTCAAACTACAGCGGGAAGGCCAGGGAGGGTTGGGGGGCGGGAGGGGGGGTAAGAGATCAACTGAAGGACTTGTATGCATGCATATAAGCATAACCAATGGACACAAGACACTGGGGGGTAGGGGAGGCTGGGGGAATGTCAAGGGGGAAAAAAAGGAGACATATGTAATACTCTTTGTAATACTTTAAGCAATAAAACAAAATATTAAAAAAATAAATAAAGGTTTGTGGCAACCCTGTGTTAGCAAGACTATTGGAGCCATTTTTCCAAAAGGCTCAAATGATGGTTGACAAGTTTAGCAAAAAAGTATTTTAATTTGTGTATGCTTTTATTAATTTCAGAGAGAAGAAGGGAAAGACAGAGATAGAAACATCAATGATGATAGAGAATCATTGATTGGCTGCCTCCTTCATGCTCCCTACTGGGTATGGAGCCAGCAACCCAACATGTGTCCTGACCTAGAATCTAAACCTAACCTCCTGGTTTATGGGTTGAGGCTCAACCACCAGCCAGACCAATAAAATATTAAATGAAGGTATGTACATGTTTTTCTAGACATGTGCGATTATAGACTTAATAGAATACAGTATGGTGGAAACATGACTTTTACATGCACTGGGAAACAAAAAAAAAATTTGCATGACTCACTTTATTGTAATATTCGCTTTACTGTAGTGGACTGGAACCAAATCAGCAATATCTCATAGTAAGCCTGTATTTAAAAGATCTTAAGACATCTCTATTAATCTGAGTATATCTCTAACATACTACCAACTGGGAAAACTGTAGTCTATAAGACTTAGCAATAAGTCTTTTTTAAAGAATATATCTTAATTGTTGAAATTATTACAGTTGTCACTCTGTGGTTTTTGTGCTGCTTTTTTCTACCATAGATTCCCTCCTCCACACACCTGCCAGTCCCAAGCCTCCACCACACCATTGTCTGTGTCCATGGGTTATGCATATACGCATATAACATCCCCTGTTAATCTCCCCCCTCCCACTGACATTAATCAGTCTGTTCATGGTTTATGTCTCTGGATCTATTTTTTCATGTTTATTTTGTTCATTAGATTCCACATATGAGTGAGATAATGTGCTACTTATCTTTCTCTGACTGGCTTATTTCACTTAGCATAATACCCTCTAGTAGCTCCATCTATACTGTTGCAAATCATAAGAGTGCCTTATTTGTCACCACCACATAGTATTCCATTGTGTAAATTGTACCATAGTTTTTGTTGTTGTTGTTTTGTGTGTTTTTTTTTTTTATCCACTCATCTGCTGATGGGCACTTGGGCTGTTTGCAAATTTAAGCTATTGGAAATTGTGCTGTTTTGAACATAGGGGTATATATGCTCTATCTGATTGGAGTTTCTAGTTTCTTAAGATATATTCCTAGAATTGGAATCACTAAGTCAAACAGGAGTTCCATTTTAAGTTTTTTGAGGAAACTCCATGTTGTTTTCCATAATGGCTACACCAGTCTGCATTCCCATCAGCAGTGTATTAGGCTTCCCTTTTCTCCACATCCTTGCCAACACTTGTCATTTTTTTCAGTCCCAGGAGTTCAAACTATCTCTTTAATGTTTCTCCAGAGCATTTGTTTTCTCTAGCATACTGTATAGTTTGATTCATTGATGATAGCCACTCTGACAGGTGAGAGGTGATATATCATGGTTGTTTTAATTTGAGTCTCTCAGATTATTACTTTGAGCATTTTTTCATGTCTCTTGGCCTTCTGTATGTCCACTTTGGAGAAATGTGTATTTCAGTCCTTTGCCCATTTTTTAATTGGATTGCTTGTGTTCCTTTTGTTAAGTTGTATGAATTACTTATATATTTTGGAAATTAACCTCATATTGGATGTATAATTAGCAAATATGTTCTCCCATGCAGTGGGATCTCTTTTCACTTTGTTGATGATTTCTTTTGCTGTGAAAAAGCTTTTTATTTTTTTATTTTTATTTTTTTAAATATTGCAGAACTCTGCCTTTCAAACTTTATTATACATCAGTGTCACCTGAAAAGCTGGTTATCATGCATATTTCCGAAGCTTTTTATTTTGATGCAATCTAATATTTTAATTTTCTCATTAGTTTCCCATGCCCTGGGAGATGTATCTATAAATATATTGCTGTGAGAGATGTCTGAGATTTTGCTGCCTACAGTTTATTCTAAGATTTTTATAGTTCCACAACTCACATTTAGGTCTTTTATCTTATCTATTTTAAATTTATTCATGTGTATGGTGTAAGTTGGTGGTCTAGTTTCATTTTTTTTTTGCATGTACCTACCTGTCCAGTTTCCCAACATCATTTATTGAAGAGACTGTCTTTACTCCATTGTATGCTCTTGCCTCCTTTGTCAAATATTAATTGAACATAATGGCTTGGGTCAAGTTCTGGGGTCTCTGTTCTGTTCCATTGTTCTATATGCCTGTTCTTGTGCCAGTACCAGGCTATTTTGAGTATAGCGGCTTTGTAATATAACTTCCCATTTGGTATTGTTTTTCTTTCTCAAGATTGCTGTGGCTATTCAAGGTCATTTGTGGTTCCATATAAATGTTTGCAGTGTTTGTTCTAGATCTGTGAAATACACCACTGGCATTAAACAGGGATTGCACTGAATCTATAAATTGCTTTGGGTAGTATGGACATTGCAATGATGTTCATTCTACCAATCCATGAACATAGTATATTCTTCCATTTTTTTATGTCTGCCTCTATCTCTTTTTTTTCAGCAACCTGTAGTTTCCCAAGTACAGGTCTTTTAGCTCCTTGGTTAGGTTTATTCCTGAGTATCTTAATTTTTTGTTGCAATGGTAAATGGGATTTTTTTTGTTTGTTTCTCTTTCTGAGAGTTCATTATTGGTGTATAAAAATGCTATTGATGCCGAAACCAGTTTGGCTCAGTGGATAGAGTGTCGTCCTGCGGACTGAAAGGTCCCAGGTTCGATTTCGGTCAAGGGCATGTACCTTGGTTGTGGGCACATCCCCAGTAGGAGATGTGCAGGAGGCAGCTGATCGATGTTTCTCTCTCATCGATGTTTCTATCTCTCTCCTTCCTCTCTGTAAAAAATCAATAAAATATATTTAAAAAAATGCTATTGATTTCTAGGTGTTAATTTTATATTCTGCTTCTTTGCTGAATTCATTTATTAAATACTAGAGGCCCGGTGCATAAAAATTCATGCATGGGAGGGGGTCCCTCAGCCCGGCCTGCCCCCTCTCACAGTCTGGGAGCCCTCAGGGGTGGGAGGTGACCCAGCAATCAGGGGAA